ACAGAATATGCAAATAGCTGTCCTCTCCTGCTGACCTGACCTTACAGCTGCTCCTCCAAGTCCCAACTGGGTGATAGCAGGCCTCTCAAAATTCAACTTCAAAGGGACCTTCTTTCTCCACTGGGAAAGCCACTCCATGCAGGGAACTTCTCTCTGGCCCCGTGCCCAGCTTGACAATAAAAGGGTTCTCGGATGTTCTCTAGAAGTCACCTACCTGTCTCCACCCCCCCCACACTGGTCCAATAACAATGTTTTCATAGGACCCAGGACCCCCCCTTTAAGACCTAGAGCTCCCAGACTGGGCCCCTTTTCACAGGTTCCCCTGCTTCTTTCCTCTACCTCTGCTCCTTTTCACGTGGGCCAATTGTCTGGGGCATGGAAGGAAGACCCAGTCCCTGTCAAACCTGCTGCCTCTTCAGGCAATTCTCCCAACAGAGGGAGAATTGGGAGTGGAATTTGAGTGTGAGTTGATGTATGAAGGCAAGGCCTCTCTTTATGGAGGGAAGGAGCCCCCCTGGGGAAGGGAAGGGAAATCAGGTGGGAGAGAGCAGGGACCAGTCAGAGATGAGTCATGAAGCTGAGATGAGAGAAGGAAACTCGGAATCTCCCAGAGACCCTGTTCCCAGAGCACGTCACCAGCAGGACGTGAGGGAGCTGGGGGTGTTTATGCCCACGTCCCACCACTCAGGGGTAGAAGATGCACACAGAGAGTGCCAGTCTCAAGGAGAAGCAGACCAACCCATGGTCGGCCAGAGGGATCTCTGATGAGCAGAGAACACTATCTGCTTCAACTGCTCATGTAGCCATTTTAGAAGACGAATGGGACTATGGGAAATTACTCTTGACTGAAGACAGACTTCTTTGATCCCTCTCAGCATGTCTGACACTCACATTGGGTCGACAGCCAGAACTGCAGAAGTAGGGGAAGAGTCACAGTATTACCCTGTTACTAGTTGTTATCAAGAAGGATTGGGCTGAAGTGAGTCCACTTTCAACTTGGTGACAATCGACTTGAGAAACATGGGAGTGACCCTTTTAGGAGGACCGGGAGCTGTTCTGATCCCTGATCCCATGCTCCAGAAGGTCACTTTTACTTAGGCCGATTAATCTCTTTGGGGAGGGTGCTGTACCCAGGGTTACTCCTGGTTTTATGCTCAAGGAACCAATCCTGGCAGGACTGGAGACTGGAGACCCCCCTGAAGTGCCAAGGAATGAAACTGGCACTTCTCTGCTGTACTGTCTCTCTGGCCCCATATCTGCCCCAGTCCCCAGGATATCTACTTTTGTGATCCTCTGCTTGAGCACTTCCTGCTACTCTTCACATGGAAAGTGGCATCCACTCGGTGCCTCCGAAATGGTCCATGGCTTCCACCCAGTGCTAGCAAATGTTTCAGCTTCCTGTCTCCAGTCTTTTAATCCCTCTTTGGTCCATGAAAGAATCTGAGACCAGAGCCATTAAGCATATCCAACCCCAGAGCTATTTATTACAAACTCTTTCTTTCCCGGTTGAGATTACCCATCTCAGATTCTTTTTAATCCCCTCCCTCTTTGAGGATAAAGTATTTTTTGCAATCTGAAGGTCATTGAGAAAAAGGAAACAACCATTTTTCCCCTTTCACCCCCCTTTGCTCTCCCCACCCTGTGAAATTCCACCCCATTCCACCCCCCTCATGGATGCAGAACCCATAAACTCGCCTCATCTCCTTGTTCCTTAATACACTTGGTGCTAACACTTGGGTTTTTCTAATAAGTAATTAAATCCCCCCACTATGAACTCCAGCTTCTGATATATCACTGGGAGTCTCTCTCAGCCCTCCAGGGAAGCCGGCACTCTTATTTATTGTTTTTGTTTCAAATCATTATTTAATCAAGAACAGGGAAAAAAGGCAACCTCTCACTTACACTTCAAAATTTAATTTCAGCTGAATTCTGAGATCAAGAGGCAGCGCAGCCTAATAGGTTACAAAAATACAATCAAGAAGAGAATTCCAATTAAACTGAACAAGTCCATTTACTGAGCTTCAAATGGCCCCATGGAGAGAGATGGCTATAAATTTTTTTTCCCTCCCTGCCATATGGGGGACTGGAAATTCTCGGGTGAATATAGAATTACATGGCAGAGGTTTTAGCTAGGGGGTTCTGGTTATGCCTTTCAGAATAAAAAAGGCCTTTGTTTCGCAAAGACATTAAGTTTATTTTCCTTGCTGTTCATCTTTCTTTGCAAACTAATTAGGAAGACAGAAAAAGAATGGATTCATTGACCTGTGGGAGTCATCAGGGAGCAGGGAGGCGGGGGAGACAGATTGCACAAGGATTGTGGGGAGTGGGGGCTGGAGGTTGTTCCCTCGCATTAGCCTTAGACCCCAGGAAAGGATCTGGTCTTCACTGACGGACTCTTCCTGTTGGTGGGAGCCAATGTTTCTACTTCTCTAAGCTCCCGCCCACCCTCACTGCCTTTGGTTCTCAAACATCTCTCCAAGGATCCAATTAGACAAATTGCTCACCCATCCACATGGACGTGTGAAAATAGACCGCTCCAAGGTAATGAGTTTTCCATCCCTCTACATGTATTTGATTTGAAGGCTCATCTTTTCTCCAGAGGCCATGCCCCGCCTACCTCTTCTACCCCGGGAATGGGCCCTTCACAACGGACCGTGGTTTCCTTTATCCTGTTCTTGCTTGGCAAAAGTCAAAACTGACAATGATCTGATCCATCACCTGCCATTCAGAAAACAAGACTGAACTGGACTCACCTCTCCTCTGCTCTCCCACTGCACATCTACCTTTTAAACCCTCTCTCTGTGATGCTGCCTTGAACCACACTGAGTGGTGGAATGGCCACTGAACAAGAGCTCAAGACTTTGGCAGAATGTACCAGAGGCTGGGAGATGAGCCTGCAGGGTGGGTGGACCTTCCATGTACCTCCCTCATTCTCCTTTCCCCTGTCTATGCTGCAGCTCCGTTCTGCCTTTCTCATCTGACTGTTCTGAATCTTGGATAGAAAATTCAGAAGACAGTATCTTGGATAGAGCCATGCTTTGGGAGGCCAGAGATACTCCAAAAATCCATGCCTGGTCCCTCATAGGCATTCACAACACAATACTTATTGCTATTACCCAGGGTCTTGCAGGGAGTTGAGGTCAGAACAGCTCCAAAGTTCCAAAATCATTTCACCTCTTTGAACCTTAGTCTCCTGCTCTCAAAACAGTGCTTAGCCACTGCACCTCAGCCCTCCTCCCCTCACTTCTCTGTCTCCAAGACTCTATTAGTGCCAAGACTGTAAGCTGTGGAAGAGCTGGAGAAGAGCATTGATTCATCTCTCCTTCAGCCCTGAGCCTTGATGGAGTTGAAAAAGGGACATTTGCCAGTGAAGGAAACTGAGGCCGGGGTGGGACGGGGAAGAGATTGGAGGGGTTGTTTGTTTAACTCAAGTCAAGACCAGGACTCAGGTAACTCTGGACTCAGCCCTTCTGGGGCACACAGGATAGGGAGACAAGTGGGAAGTTCCCAGCTGCACAGCCCCAGCACCCCAAGGCATCTCTAAAAAGTGAGGGTGGGATTGCAAGGAGAATTGTGGGCAACTCTAGTCAAGTCTAGAACATGATGATACAGGTGCCTCATCTTATAAAGAAGTTTCCAGAATGTGCTGCAGACTCTCACTATTGAATCCACTAGCGGTTCATCTGCTCTGACCCCTTGGTCCTCCAGCCAGCACCCTGGAGCCTTTCCTCACTGCCAAAGCAGCACCTCTCTGAAAGGCTCAAGAGGCCAGGCCCTCTCCATCTGTCAGCTGCCACCATGTTTAGAGCCTTGTTCTTCAAACTGTGGTCTGTGTGCCCACGGCAGTCTACGGAAATTTTCTGGTGGTCTGCCAAGAATTTATAACCCCCAAGCAGCCACAGATGTGCTAGGAGAAAACTGATTTTACAACATGGTTGTTTTATAAAATACAATCTACCTGGGTGTTGGTCTCTGCCGGTCATCAGCCTATCTGCAAAATATTTTAATTTTTCCCAGTCAGCGTGTGTACAAAGGCTTAAGAACCCTGGGTTGGGTCACTCAGTGATCAGTATCCTATTTGTGTGTATGTCCCTTTATAGTCATCAAAGGATTTCACCTACTTTATCTTAGTGCACATCCCTTATGACCCCAGATGGGAGTCAGATCACTTCCGGTTTGCCAAGGAGAATACAGGATAATGGGGTGAAGGAACTGGCTCAAAGGGCCACACAGAAGTGGCCCTCTGGGATTTGAATCAGATCCAAGTGTCTAGGCATCCCCCCTGTCAAACTGAAGTCATACCCCAGCTCCTCCCTTTGACCTCTGAACCAAGGGTCCACATGCCAGTCAATGCTTTGCTGGATTCTTTCTTGCTCTGCAGTATGATATTCCCCCAGAATTTAACTTCTCTGAGCTTGTATTTTTCCCCCTTTACCATCTGTGAAAGGGACCGACTCAGAAGAGTAGCTGTACCCTCAACTCCCTGACACCAGGCACTCAGGATGAGAGGGCAGAGGTCAAGGGCTCTTGATGGGAAATTCACACAGAAATTCAAAGCTGTGTTTCTACCAGTGAAATCACATCCTGACTGCTGATCAGTGCCACAAGAACACAGGCTTCAGCAAAAAGCTAGAGGGCCTTTGACATCAAAGACCCCCGCCCTCACCTTTCTTTCCCTGCCCCCGAACCTCCTGTGATAGCCTCAACCCCAGCCCCACCCCTTCTTCCTACAGATGTCATCTAGAAACCAAGATTCAGTTTTCAAATGCTGACAAAAAGGCTGGGTGTGTAGCACGTCTCCCTCCCTGTTCCCCAAACACCCAAGCCGAATGCTGCTGAAAGCTGGTAGATAACAGTTTGGTTAATCAATATGAGGTCTGAATCCAGTGAGGCATTTTCACCAGAAGGGTTAAAGCATCGGAAATAGCCTTAAACTTATGCCTCCACCTCCCCCAAGAGTTTGGCAACAACTGTCACAGCAGGCTGTTCGGAATACTTACTACACTCCTGGCCGACAGGCAGCTGAGCTGGAGGGGCTGACTGGGTGGGCGGCTGAACCGGGCCTCAGGGATGGCCTTGGCAAGGCTCTTGGAACAGTGGCCAGAGCGCCTTCGGCGGGACTTCCGCCTTCCCTCAGGAGACCGGCCGCGGTGCCTGTGAATGGGGGATAAGAACCTGAGTCTTCTCAAGGGGGGGCCACTGAGGGACCATTAGGGTCTGAAGGTGATTTAGTTCAGGGGTCCCCTATTTACAGGGGTAGAAAGTGCCAGTCTGCAGGGGTGGAAAGGTGGATGTTCTACCATGGTGGTTCTAACTGCCAGTCTGTGAACCAATATATAGATAGGTGCTGGCTTGCAGGTGTAAAAGGTTGAAGAATTCTTGTTTGGTGTGTTGGTATGAATTACTTGTGTGTATGTATTGATCCATCCACAGCATATAGCTTAGTCATCCACTCGTTTACCCATTTACCATCTGCCCAACCACCCACCCTCCCATCCACCAATCCATCAACCCCTCCCTCCATTCATCCATCCATCCATCCCTCCATTCATCCATCCATCCACCGACCCACCCATACATCTACTTACCAATGACCCATTTATCCACCCACCCATCCACCCATTACATCCATTCACCTACCCACTCATCCATCTACCCAGCCAGCCATCCATATCCATCCATCCATCCATCCATCCATCCATCCATCCATTCGCTTACCTACTGACCCATCCACCAATCCAACCACCCATCCATCCACCCACCCGCCCACCCACCCACTCACCATCCATCTATCCACCTACTCACTCACCATCCATCTGTCCACCTACTCACTCACCCATTCATCCACCCACTCACCTACCATCCATCCATACATCCACCCATCCATCCATTTATACATGCACCATCTACTCACTCACCCATCCATTCATCCAGCCACCCACCCAGCGACCAACTCATTCACCCTTCTATCTACTGATAATCCACCCACCCATTCATCCACCCACCCACCCACCCATCTACCATCCATCAGTCCATCCACCTATCCCCATCCCCAACTTGCCTGTTCATTCATGCATTCATTCACTATCCTATGTGTTCTTTCAACACATGTTTATTTATGTACCTCAAACTCTTTGGGGGATGCTGGGAAGGCAACTGTGGCAACAGAAAACGTTCCTGCCCTGATTTTGTCTCATTTTCTTTGTGTGACTGTCTGTCTGTCTGCCGTCTGTGTGTGTCTGGGTGTGTCCATCTGTGTTTTCAAGTGTTTATAAACAGACTTGCGTGTATCTGCACGCCTCTGTGTATGTGACTTTGCCATCTGTGAAATACACATCCACTGACAGGCACCCAAAACTGGGGGCGGGGTTGGGGGAGCTGACAGAAGTGACAGAGATGCCTCCTGTGAGCTCGTCAGACCTCGAGCTGGCTGCCCTGGTTTCAGAGGAAACAGAAGGAACCATCGACTTTTCAGTCACTTGCTCTCTGCAGAGCCGGCTAGCTTGGAGCCCCAGAAGGAAGGAAAATGGCCTCTGATTGGTTTGCTTGTGTGCAAAAACCTTCTGAAAGGACCTTCCCAGTCATTTCTGTAGACAAAGGAAGTGAGGCTCAGAAAAGGGGCTGGAAGTGCCTTCCGTAGGCCCTGCCCCTTTCTCTAACTTAGAGGTCAAGAACCCAGTCATTCACCTGCAGCCTGAAGCCAGCGCTGGGGCTGAGTCCCAGGAAGCAGTGCCCACCTCAGCTGTCAATCACAGTCACCAGGCTGGGCTCCTTCCACCCACCAGTGCCATGTATGGGCTGTCACAGTCAGTGAGACAGCCCCACTCCACCAGGCAGAGGGCCCCATGAACAGACTGGGGGTGGGAGGAAAGGGGTGCGGAGACCAAGAGTGTTGACTGCACCTTGCAGGATGGACAGACACATGCCATGCTATGTCGCTTCCCTGGGGGAATCTTTTAGAAGCATGTGTGGGGTGGATTTTGGGGGCACTTACAGAACCAGATCTTGGCCCTCACAGGGGAATGGAGCTCTTTCTCAGAATGGGTGTCTTCAGACACCGGCTATGGCAGCCGAGAGGGCACAACGCCAGACGTGGGCCATGAATGTCATTGATGTAGAAGCAAAGACAGGGACCAGGTTAGGCGGTGTTGACTGGGGGGGTGGGGCAGGACTTGATCCTTGCTGGGTTGGTTGGCGCCTCTGTGCTGGGACCCACCCTTGGCGAGTATGCCAAATCCAGACTCCCCGGGTTCCATGCTTACCCCATGGCTTAGTAGCCAACGGCTTAGCAAATCCCTTCCCTTCCCTGCACCTCAGTTTCCTCATCTTTCAAAGTGGGATGCCAATGTTTCCCACTTTCTGAGGCTGTAGGGAGTCCATGTGAGCTGAAGTGGGCAGAGTTAGCACCTCAGAGGGTGTTGGGGCCATGGGGGACACTTGCATGGGTCAAGGACTGCATGTGTGAGTGTGTACAATGTGAACGTGGAAGCAGCAAGCTTATTATTATTTTTCAAAATTGTAGAGAGCCTCCACAGTGGTACTGGGGCCTGGGGCTGGAGGAACATTCTTGGTCACACTCACCCAACCGTGAGGGACTGATGGTAGGACACTTCAGTTCAGTGGCGTGGTGCTGTTTGAGACCTGGAGGTGCTGGAAACCAACAGGATCGTGATCTGGGACCATGCAGTGCTGGGGATCCAACTTAGGGTCTCATGTCTGCCTGTGCTCCAGTCCTTTGAGTGTTGCTCCCTGGACCCTCCAGTTCCTTGTGTCCACAGCCATTTTCTACAGGGACAGGATCCACCTCCCCCACCGTGTGTCCCCCGGACAATGCCAGACACTGGGCCCAGGCCCTGGACAGCATGGGGCAGACCTGGCCTGGGGCGGGTGCTTACCTGCTCTCACAGCTGGAGGAGCGACACTCCAAGCTCTGGGACCGCGAGGAACAGCGGCGGTGGCCATGGCGGTGAGACTTTCGAGCCCGGCTGCGTGATCTTGGGAGGCAGTTGAGAAGGAGCGAATCAGAGAGGAGAGAGAGGGACGAGGATACTCGTGCACCTCAAGTTCACTCAGGGCAATTCCCCCAGCCTCTCCCTAGCTGCACTGAACCCCAGAGTGTGGGAAAAGGGAGCCGAGTTCCTCTGTCCCAGTGGCAGACCCGACCTACACTGGCAGGGCCCTCCTCCTAGTGCTCACAAGATTCCCCACTCCCAGCTATCCCCACACGTCTGTGAGCCAAGCACAGAGAAACAATCTCGGAGGCCCTGAGGCTCATTTTTAATCTTTATTTTTTCTTTTTGGGTCAAAATACCAGTGATCTTCAGGGGTTATTCCTGGCTCTGTGCTCAGGAATTACAACTGGTGGTGCTTTGGGACTATATGGGGTGCCAAGGATCAAACCCAGGCCAGCCACATGCAAGGCAAATGCTCTCCCCACTACACTATCACTCCATACCCTGGGCTCAAATACATACACACATACACACACACACACACATATATGTATATATATTCTGAAAGTTTCTCATTAAACATCTTTTCCATCAAGTAGCACCAACAAAAACACAAAGAGTAGATTTCAGGGCAACACCTAAATATTGTAGAATGATCAGCAGAATTTTGTTTTCTTCTTCCATGGTGTGCTAGATGAATTTGGCTCAATAACACAGCAGTAGAGCGTTCGCCTTACAAGCGGCCAACATGGCTGACGCGAGTTTGATTCCTCTGCCCTTCTCGGAGAGCCCAGCAAGCTACCAAGAGTATCTCGCCTGCACGGCAGAGCCTGGCAAGCTCCCCATGACGTATCAATATGCCAAACACAGTAACAACAAGTCTCATGATGTAGACGCTACTGGGCCCGCTCGAGCAAATGGATGAACAACGTGAACAACGGGAGGACTGTGACCGTGTCTACCATTTAAATAAAATATTCGTGTTTTCAATGAAAGCTCACTTCTTTCTTTTTTAAAGAAACATAAGACATTTTGGGGGGGGTACAACATGCCCATTCGCAGCACCAATGAGGCCTCTGGGTTGCCCATTTGTAACCTCAGACCTGGAACCCAGAGTCCAGTTTCCTTACCTGGAGTCAAAAGGCTGTGTGGGGTGGGTGGGGTGGGGGTTGGGGGGGGGGGGGAAGGCCAGCACAGTATTCATGGAAAAAGGCAACAAAAACTCTAACCCTTCCTGAGATAACAGTCCTTCTTGAGGTACACACCCACTAGTCCCCTGCAATTCTGGAGTGGGCACTGTGCTAGCAGAGGGCCCAGAGAATGGGCAGCAAATACCCATGGTTTTGGGGCCAGGAAGCCAATGTCGGTTAGAGATGATTCATCAGGAGTCTGCCTGGTCATCCCAGCTAAGGAGCCAGGGGTGCTGGAAAGGGATCATCAGACCGGCTTCCTCCGCCGCTTCGAACCCTTCCAGGAGTGGTCCCTGAGCACAGAGCCAGGAGGCAGCTGTCAACACCAATGGGCGTGACCCCCCACCCCAAAACCAAGACAAGCAAAGCAGCCCTGCTCCCCTTGCCCGGTCCTCCTCCTGATGGGGTGAAGATCACGGTGACAATGGTGGTGGCAAGGGACCTAAACTGTACCTTACACAACTGTGCCCATTAAAGGACACCCCCAATCCATACAGCAAGGCTTCCAGAAGGTGCTCTTACTCGTTCCTTTACACGGAGTAGGAAACAGGGGCTCTCATCTAACCTGCAGCCGAGAATGCCACCCCTCACCCCAGCCTGCACACCCCTTCCTGCAGCAAGTCCTCTCCCTACCCCCAGCACTTGTACTAGCATGGGGGGGGGACCCCCAGGGCCTGGGCTGTCCAGCCCTGTTACCCATGTCCAGAGAGAATGTGTGATGAGTGTCTGCTGTGGGCCACCCCCTGAGACCTGCTCATGTTAAGGGCCCGGTGAGGGATGTGGAAGCAAAGGAGGCTGCTCAAGGCCCCAGGGAAACAGCACCAAGGGCTGGGGCACATGCTTGACGTCCCTTTACTACCCAACACCCGATCTACTCCTGAGTGAGATCCTGGTGACCCTCTGCTGGGTTGAGTATCACAGGGAGTGAAGCCCCTAAGCTTTCTGGTTAGAGATGATTCATCAGGAGTCTGCCTGGTCATCCCAGCTAAGGAGCCAGGGGTGCTGGAAAGGGATCATCAGACCGGCTTCCTCCGCCGCTTCGAACCCTTCCAGGAGTGGTCCCTGAGCACAGAGCTCAGGGAAACCCCTCCCAAATTTTATACAGAGATTTTGGTTTGGGGCAAACCCTGGCTGTGCTCAGGGCTTGTCCTGGCTCTGTGCTCAGGAGAACCATATTGGGTGCCAGGGATGGAACCCAAATTGGTCACGTTCAATGCAAATTCATTACCAACTATACTATCACTCCAGTACCCCTTCCCCCTTTTTTAAAGACTGATTTTAAAGATCACTCCTGGGGTCACTTGTTTGGAAGTCAAGTTGACCAAGGGGTATGATTGGAATTTATTTTAGAGGGGGCCTTCCCCTACTCCAGTCTTTTGTGGGGAGGGGGCTGGACCACACTCAGCAGTGCTCAAGAGCGACCTCTGGAGGCCAGTGTCTATAAGGGAAGAGCCTTAACCCCTGAACCATCTCTTTGGTCCCTGATTGTGTCTTTGACTTGTACATCCTGTGATTTCTGGATCTCTGCCAGTTGCTGGCACCAAGAGACAGAGGCCTCTGGAGGGTACTTCTCATCTCGTTGATGGCCCCTCCCTCCCCTGGTGGGTGTGGGTCTCTCAGCCACCGCCCCCTTCCTCCACCCCCCCCCCCCACACACACACACACACCAGCAGTCTTGGCTCAGGGGCTGTCTATACTGCAGCTGAGAGGTGGGGTGGATTTCTCCGCAGAGAGTCTGTGAACACACACTCTTCATCGTCTCTGGACTGGAACTAAACAAGCCAGAGGAGGGGGAAGTCCCCTAAGTTCACTCCAAGCTCTACAGCCTCCTCTGGAGCCTACCCAGGGTTTGAGGTGGTGAACTGGGGGTGCCCTTTGCAGCAATGACCTTGAGTGGAGGGTCCCTTTGAAGTAACCCACGGGGCCTGTCTCATCCCCCTGCCTTTCATCCTGACTTTAGAAGCCTCTTGGCAAAAGATAAAATGGTAGTTGATTAGAAAATACTCGCGCTCGGGCTTTGCAGGATGTAAAGTAGGTGGGTTGTAACCAAATTTACTTTTAATTTGCCTGGGAACTGAACTCTGCAGGTGGTGCCGGCTGATTGGAGCTTCTACCACCAGAGATAAACCATGACCCAGATGGAGCCCGGGGTGGGTGCTCAGAGCACCCCCACCCATGGGGCTCCGCCTCACGCAGGCACACACACACACACACGGGCACATAGATGTGATCGTGCTCCCCTCCCCACCCCTTAACTACTCATCCCACCCAGCATGCCTCTGGGCACCAGGAAGAAGCACTCCCAGCCCAGTCCATGTGATGTGCACCCTAAGCAGGCCCTGCCGACTGGACACACGCAGCGAACCGTCTTGCACATGCGCACAGACGCTCCAGTCACTGCTGAGAATTCCTGGAAATGCACATCAACGCCCACACTGCCCACTCTGCACCCACGTGGGCTCCATCTGCGTGCCAGGAGGGCATGAACCACCACCTTCAGGGTGCCCGCCACACACAGCCACCCCACCTTACCAAGAGACACACAAGGCATGCACGGGCACCGGGGGTTTCGCACTCATGGGAAGTGTGGGGCACCCAGTTCGCATCCATGCGCCCGCAGCTAGACATGCGTCTGCACACGGTCACTGACATGACCTGTGCATGCGTGCATACCCCACCCCACTGCTGCACACATCAGTGCCGAGTTCTGGCTCCCTTGTTCTTTTCCTCCTCCTGTCCCACTCCTCTCTCTCTCTCCCCTTTGGCTTTGCAGAAGTAACACACAACTCTTCAAAGGCCGGGAACCCCCAGCTCCATAAGCCGGAGTTGTGCCTTCCCCAGATGGGGCTGGGGCTGGGGCTGTGGGGAGGGAGGGTGGTCTTCACTTACTGTTTTTTGTGCCTCTTCTCTTCCTTTCTTTTGCTTTTTGGGCTAGAGGAGCTAAAAGAGAAATGGCCGATTAATTGAAGGAGGAAAATTTCCGGGTGAATATAGGAGCATGTAAGTAGCTAAGGGCTGGGGAGAGCGCTCAAAGGGCTGGCGTGTGTGTTTTGCATGCAGGAGGTCTGGGTTTGATTCCTCAGTCTTGCTCAGTGTGATTCCTGAGCATTGAGCTAGGAGCAACCTCCATGAGTATGCAGATGTGACCCCCTCCCCCCAAAAACAAGAAAGGACTTAAAATGATTCCATATCACAGAGAATGGTCTCCAGGTCAAGGCTGGCCTGGAACAGACGCCAGTGACTTTCAAGGCCAGGGAAATTTTTCACCCAAAATATTCTGGGAAAGGAACTGACCTAACCCAACACCTCACCTAAGAAAGGGGTGCAGAGAAAACCACAGTCGTAGCTCTCTCCCAAAGCGAACAATAAAATCTGCCTTTTGCAAAGGCTTCATCAAAGGAAGGAACCCCGTTGGAAACTATGGGTTAACAAGTACTTATTTTCCTACAGTCAAGGTTAGAGGCACCGTGTATCGATGCAACGTTTTACAGATGTAAGATCGAAAAAGCTGGCTGGGAATGCACAGATGGGCGACAACAGGGCCCTAGACCCTCCATTCCCTGAGTTCAGGCTTTCAGATCCATTTATGAGAATCGAATGGGACATCCAGGGAGCCACTGTGAAGAGTCACGAGTTGTGACGGATTCTGAAACGCCCATGAAGGTCAAGCACGCGATTTTCTTAGGCCTCTTTAAAAATATCAGAGATCTGGGGTGTTGGTGGGCCCAATAAGGTCATATAAAATCCCAGAGGATGGGATGGAAGTTGGCAGTTCCAGCCTAACTGGCTTCCGAACGTCCTCGAGAAGGTGTCACTGGGAAGGGGAGCAGGGAATCGATGCAGCTGAAATCACAGCATGGCATCAGCTGTGGGGAGTCCTGCGTGTCTGGGACTCAGTCTGGGCAGGGGAAGAGGCAGGAACACCCACCAAGTTCATGTCTCAGCTCTGAGGCTTCATGGCTATGTGGCCTGGGGGAAATTGGCTTCTGTGGCCACAAAATGGGGCTATTTCTTGACCACTGAGTGGATGGATAAGTCTTCTGAGTCATGTCACTTGGAGACCTAGTGTGTGAAAGGGCTCTGCAGACAACCCACTTCCCACGTGACTATTTGCTTAAGGAGCCATCACAGTCTATAATAGTCTTTGGTTTGATTTTCAGCCTGGCCACATTCTGGCTGCGTGTCTGGGTTCCTGCCCCCACATCTCCTGTCTGAGTCTCAGTTTCCTCATCTATAAACTGGGAATGATAAGTACCCCCACTGCGCAAAACAGTGAAGGGGATGAGATGCTTAGTGCAGGGACCCAGGTACAGTGAGCACTTTGCAGGTGATGGTTTTGGGGTGAACTCTGTGGGATTTGGTCCTGGTCCCTTGGGTTGAGAGCTGGGAAGACTTTGGTGGAATGACTGAGGCTGATGTGTCTTTATCTGTTCCACCCCCAATATTTCTACATGTGGGGAGACACACAACAGACAACAGTCACCAGAATTTGCAGGGAGGGGTTGGCATGGGAACCACTAGCTGTCCTAGTTGGACTCAACTTTTCCCGAAACCAGCCCAAACAAAGCTTTGTTCTGGAGGGCAAAGGCCCAGGAAGGTGAAGAGGGGAAGAAGAACACGAGGTTGGAGACTGTCTAGAAGCTGTTCAACCCCCGGATTGGTGGGTCGGGGGTGTAGGAAGCCCAGGTGAGCATACAGAATTGAGCACATGCTTACCTGTGCCTTCTTTTCTTGGAGAATGACCTGATTGAAGGTGGGGGGAAAGGAGAAAGAGGAAGGAAATGACAAAGAGGGAGGGAGGAGGGTAGGAAGGAGCACGGAATGGCAAGAAAGGTCAAAGAAGGGAGGAAGGAGGAGGAGGAGGAAAGAAAACAAATATTGGTGAGTCTGAAGTTTCTATTCCCGGGATCAATGTGTCAGTGTGTTGGCAGTCGTGCATGTTGGCAGGACAACCAGCCCACCCTGCATCCCTCTTAGCTTGCAGAGAAAATGGACACGACTTGGCATTTCCAGGTTGAAGGGGAGCAGGGCTCCTTTCCTCACTGAAAGTATTAGCCAGACTATCCTGGATGTGGTCCATGGGGGCTGGAGGAGGCAGGAGCACTCAAGGGAGAGTCCTCTTCCTCCTGACCTCCCCCAAGTCCCATGTCTGTTCTTCTCTCTACTTGGGGTTTCATCATCATCATTACCACCACTATTATTATAATCATGGACCAGTCTCTATGCCAAGCATTTCATAAGGAGTCTTATTCAGTCTTCCCCCAAGTCCCATAAAATACCACTAACTCCACTTAAGCAAAACACTGAAGCTCAGAGAAGCTGGTTAAGCTGCCCAGGGACACACAGCTTAGCTTGTGTAACTCCTGCTCTTTGCTCAAAGCTCCACTCATGCATTGTCTTTGCCTTGTTGCCTTTTCCTCTCAGGTGGGTTGGTTACCCCCTTACTCACACCCCTGCCCCCACCACTCCCCTGAGCCCCAGGCAAGCTGCTGAGCTTAGCCTTATTTATAGTACCTAGGACTAGCTCTGCATTGTACAATGACCTATTTTCACATTACAGTGGGAAGGACTCAAAGGGAAGGATCCTGGGTTGGGACTTTGGTGTGTTTCTGGAGCCCACACACCTCATTTATGACACATCATGGGTATTTGAGAAATTAGATGTGAAAAAAATGGGATTTTTTTATAAGACCCTGAGACCTTGTTAACTGAGTGAAGAAAAAAATCTCAGTGATGCCCTTATGCCTAGTTTTATCCTCCAAAAAATATACCAACCAAACATTTCACGACATAGTGGTGATTTGCGGGAGTGGGGCTGGGAAGCTTGATGACCAAAGTCTCCTCTTCCTAATCACTCTCTCACGTTGGCCTGGCCGCCTTTCCTGAGCTGACTGTAGCTGGCAGAAAAGGCCAGTTCCTAACCTTCAGGCAAAGTCTCGCGAGAGGAAACACTTGAGCGAGAAGCCATCAGGTCTTCAAGCCAAAGCTATGGACAAGCCCCCCTCCACCCCCCACTGGGATGAACAGTTCAGCCCTGGAGGGGGCCAAGTTGGTAGCTTCCAGCCTCAGGCAGGCCATGACTTCGACAAAAGGATGCCACACGGGGAGAGGTTTGGACCTAATGCTGCTTTGCCCATCAACCACTTTTTTTTGGCTTTTTGGGTCATACCCAGCAATGTTCAGGGGGTACTCCTGGCTCCATGCTCAGGAATTACTCCTGGCAGTGCTGGGGGACCACATGGGGTACTGGGACTCGAACCTGGGTTGGTCGCATACAAGGCAAATGCCCTACCCACTGAACTATCTCTCCGGCCCCTGTAAACAGCGACATTGGGGCAACGGTGCCTTGAAACCAGGGGTGAGATGCAGGGGACAACCTAAACAAGCTCTTACCTTTCTTCCTGATGAGGTTGTTTAATTGCACAAATAATCCACAATTGGTGTAGGAAAGTTGGAAGATACAGATAAGCAAAAAGAGAATATAAAGCCACTCTTACCCTATCAACCACAGGCAAAAAAAAAAAAAAACACAAAACCAAACAAAAAACCAAGTTCTACCTGGAGCTTCCAGCTTCCTGTCCCCAGGACCCCAAGCTTCAGAAACGTATAGAAATGGGGGAGCCACAGAAGGGAGGTTCTTTGGCAAATGAAAAGGCCCCAAAGCCACCCATCTGAGTTCTCAGGTGTCTGTTCTTCCTGTCAGCCTTCCCTGCCACAAACCTTCGTATGTGAGAGCCAGAGTGTGTGTGCCGGCAAATGTGTGGAGAGTGAGTGTCTGGGGCGGAAACCCAACTCATGCCCAACTCATGGTGACTCTGTCCACACAGGGGCACATTCCAGCTCCTGTTCCACATTCTGGCTCCTGTTCCACCGTGTCTGGGGAGTGGGGAATGCGGAGCGAGGGAGAGACACTGTGTTTTCTTAAGGCCTGGTCCAGGATGCTGAAAGTGGGGTCCAGTCCCGTCTCCCCCCAAGGACTGAATTGTATCCTTCCTGGGTTCCGGTAGCCGCTCGTGGAGGCCTCACCCCGTCTCCGGTCACCAATGACCCTTCCGGCTTGGCTCTGTCTGGCTGGGCCTCGTGTTTTTGCTTGGGGACTGCCGTCGGAGGAAACAGGCTCCCACATTAGCTCTCAGCTGCCCCTTCCCATTACCCCAACCCCAGCTGCTGGGTGAAGAAGAGCCGTACCTGTGTCGTTTGTGTTTTTTGGAACTTTTCTTCTTCTTCTTCTTGACAGGTGACAGGCTGTCAGATGAGGACCTGATAGAAGAGGTGAGATACAGTTCATCAGGGACTTTTCCAGGCCAGGGGGGACTTCAGAGACCCTCCTCCAGTCCCCCCAATGGCTTTCAGCAACACTCGGCACCGTTCAGTCAAAGCTCGGTCACTTCCACTGTCACTGATGGCGTCATTTTCCTCAAATCCAGTCACACACCAACAAGGTAAGACTAGTTGCTAAGTCTCTTGTCTCCTCAAAAAAGACTCACAAGGAAGATGTTCAGAGAGGTGAGGAGACTTGACCAAAGACACACAGTTAGGAAGCAGATGAGCTTAGATTTGCGGATCTCGGTGCCTACATTACCCAGAGCTGTCCTCTGTTCAGACCAGGAAAACTCTACTCTTCTCCCACACCCTGATGATCTTCTTCTGTACCACTGGCCTCTCTTGGACCCTATTCCCCACACCTTACCCTTCTCTTTCTCTCCCCTTGCTGGGTTGTAGTCCAGTCCCCATGGGGATATGCCATCAAGGCCCAAGAAACAGACTCCCCCACCTCCCACCCAGAGACTTTGGACTCTGACTCAACATTTCAGATAACCATACCCCAGTCTTCACTCTGCCAGCTCCCCAAGATGTCTCCTGGGGCATGTCGTTGCTGATATCTAGGTCTCTGATTGGCCCCCCAACAGAATCAAGGCAGACCCCAATGAGCAGATGTGAGCTTGGAACTCACACGTGCCTCTCAGGCTACATACATGAATAACTATAGCAGGCAGTAGGAGAACGGGGGCTCCCACCGTATGGAGTGTAGCAGAGGAACCTCACAGAAGGCCTGGCTGCAGCTCACATGAGCTGTGGGGACGTGAACACAACTTCCCAGACACGTGTATTTCCCATAAGTCACTAGAAATCCTTATTTTCATCTGATATCTAGTTATGAAATGTTAGTTACCAATAAAAAGGACAATAATTAAAACACACATACACACATCACAAACATGCACACACACAATTGTGTTACAGGCCAACAAAAGCATTTGGGAAATGCATGGTTGAGAACAACTTGATTCTAAGGAATCAAGACATCACAATGTCTGTCCCCAGTCCCATGCTTAGCAAATATTTATGGGATAGATGAATGGTGGGTAAGTGCACGGATGGAGGGGTGAATGGGTGGATGGATGACTGGGTGGATGGAGAGGTGAATGGATGATGGTGGGTGGGTGTATGGATTATACATGGGTGGGTGGGTCAATGGATGGGTGGATGGTTTGGATTGATGGATTGATGATAGGTGAATGGTGGGTAGGCGAAGCTTTATGTCTGGGATTTGCTTTTAAAGAATTCTCCTGCTCACCCCTAAAATCAGGAAACTTAAGTTATCACCCTTCACCCTATATGAGAACTCAGGATTTTTATTCATATTCCTGTCTGGGTCCTCTTGGGCCAGGTCCTCCTAGAACTAGGCTAAAGTGGTGTCTACGAAACAAGGTCCCTGAAAATTCAAGAGACGCAGCTCATCACTTAGACGCTGCTCTCTGCTGCCTTCTGCAGGTTTCCTCAAGTACTGCCTCTGAGGTTGGAGGTGAGTCTCCACCAGGTCCTGCCCAGCCCTCTGCTGGGAACACTGGCAGGTGCTCAGTTTAGTGAGTCGCAGTCTAGAAGAAAATCTGGGGCTCTCTTTAAATACAAAAAAATCAAAGGAATAATACAAAGTAAACATCCAAAGGGCACAAAAGTGTGCATAGGTGATACCACACAGACACCTTCGCAATCACACACACACACACACACACACACACACACAATCACAATCACAATTCCCCTCTGCTGGAGTCAAATGGGGAGACTGTAAGTTCTTCTAACCCACTCTGAGCCCCTCTTTCCTCATATCCAAAACAAGGATAACAATAATAAGATAATATTAAGTTCTGGGATGTCACGTTCAGCATAGTGACTAGAGTTAGTCATACTGTACAGAACATCATCTGTTCTGGCATCTAAGGGACACAACATGGAGATGCCTCATAAAAAAACATACCCATAATATAAAACTCCACTCCATGGCACCTATCCCAAGAACACAAAGGCATTGATCTGAAAGGATACCTGTACACCCTGTTCAAGGCAGCACTTAGGACAACAGCCAGGATATGAAAGAACCCCAAATGTCCTGTGACAGAGGAGGAGAAAGTATGGTCTATACACACAGTGGGATGTAGACACCACGGAATACTACTCAGCTCTGTGAAAAGACAAACTCCTGCATTTTGCTCCCCGTTGGATGAAACTAGAGGGTGCCATATGAGGCAAAATAAGTCAGAAGGAAGTCAAAATGCTTCAAATGACTTCCTTCACAGGTGGCGTATAAAGGAACGGAGAATAGAGATGGCTGATGGCAAGTGAAAACAGATCCTTGGACTCTGACAGGAGAATGAGGTTACCAAGTGGGGTGGGGAAGAGAGGGAGGGATGGGGAAGAGCAGAAGTGACCCAAGGACAGTGTTGGCCACTTTGGTGGCGGTGGGAGGGGAGGTAATTTTGACACCAAAAGCATAAACATTGTCACTAGCAAACCATGCCATCTCGATAGCAATAACAAGCTGCATGGGCACAAGTGAGAATTCTCAGAACGTTTTATTGTCTGTACAATAACAATGAACAATACTGTGTCAGATTTTGCTAAGTCACTAAGAACATAGATCTGAAAGGCTCCCAGTCCCGACAACAGATTCTGTAACTCTGTGGCCTGGTGGCTCTGAACAAAATTACTATGAATGACCCTTTGACAGCAGATACAAATACCAAATGAATATGTCACGCACCTTAAAGGTGACAGCATGTTATATGCCTGATCTATTTCAATAACATTGGGGTAAGTTTCAAAAGTAAAAATGAAATGGAGGAAGCATCATGTTTTCCTGGTAGATTCTGGCCAACACTCCAAAATCCTGGAGATCCCCCTGAGCCCCTTCTTAGAATAATTCTGCACATGCTCCAGCACCAAAATTCCATCTCCAGGAACAGAGACGCTTCAGAGTGATTGGTCATTAATGACAAAGATGTGCAGCTATCACCGAGCCTGGAGACAGCTGCTTCTACAGTTTTCACATGAACTTCTCATAAAAGCCCAAGAGTTCCAGATTCTTCTTTCTCTCTTTGAAAGAGAAATGGCACAAAGAGGAAAAGTGACCTCCCCAAGGTCATACAGCAGGGGAAGAGGCAGAGAAGGATTTGAAGCCAGCAGGAGTCGCTAACAGGGTGCACGCCACTATTGTATCCTTTAGATTTCTCCTCCCCTACAGGGTTCTCACCTCCTTCTCTTCTTCCGGGCGGATTTCTTCTTTTTCTTCTTTCCCCTGGAGGCAGGTGGCGGTGTCTTGTCATTGTCCTGGGAGGCACTGTGGAAACACGAATCCAAAATGAACATGTCCGAGCTTCCCCAAGCGCCCACCCCAACACCCCCATGGCCTGTGGCTGCCTAGAAACAGCCCAGCTCCTTGGAAGATGAAGGATCCCTAGTGAACACCTAATTCCCACCTCCTGGTGCTTGTGGTCACACTTCAGATTAAGTGCCTCAAATAAGGAGTGCATGCCAACCTAATGAGACAGATGCCAAATGCTACCCCAACACCGATTGATTATTTAAAACAGAGCAAGAGAGGTTAACTGCTCCCTAATAGATTTATTATTGAATTTTCAAATGGCTCGCCTTGGTAAATAAATCACATTTTAAATAATTAATTGGCAGTTCAGCCCCTCCCCCCCTCCCACCATCATGTCTATATTTCTTGCACTAGATGAAATAGGAGGTGGCAGGGATGGTAAGTAGCAGCTGATTATTAAAAGTATATTTGCCAAGGTCTTGTATAACGTGATAACACGTCTTCTATCACCCCCCCACCCCCCGGAACCTCACGACTCTCCACTCCTCAGGAATAATTATTTCCCGTGCAATTAAATTCAAACACTCAGGCTGTCGTTAAATGAAGTCAAGTTATCTCATTTTATAATTGGGGCAAGCTCCAGGGATTTTTTTTAAACACTATCCCATGGCAAAAGGAGATGGTGAGGGATGAAAAACAGCTTAGGAATGAAATCCTCATAATTCAGTTGAACCTTTGTGGAAAAATATAACACCAAGAAGAATAGTACTATTATCTTTAGAAGTAACACAATCGCTGTTTATTTGTTTTGTTTTTCACTTGGTTTGGAGCTACACCTGGCCTTGCTCTGGGTTTACTTCTGGATCTGTGCTCAGGGCTCACTCCTGGTGGGCTTGGGGAACCATATGGGAGGCCCACGATGGAACCTGGGCTTGATTGCGCAAGACAAGTGCCCTGCCCGCTGCACTATTGCTTCAGCCTCATCAAGGTTTTTTGTTTGTTTGTTTGTTTTTTAAAATATTTATCTTGGTACTACCAAAAAAAGAAAAAAAACACTATGGGAGGGATGATGTTTATTGTCTCATTTTAATAGTGATGGATATGAGACGCAAACATGTGACCTCTGTCACCCGCAGCAGTATGGTGAGACAAGCTCTGAACTGGGACCTGAATCGAGGTCTGTGTCATCCCTTCCCTGAGAGTTTTTGCTCTACATCAGATGCCTCCTCAAAGTTTCATGTGGCTGAGATTGTAATTGCTTGACTCGTTAGATAACACCATAAAATGCTCTTGCATTTAATTCCAGGCTAGGAGGCTAGATCATTAGGGTTACTAGGAAATGAAATGATCAAGTGATTAGAATTTAAGTCAAACTCTGGCAACACCAATAAATAAAAATGATAGAGTTGAGTCAAAACCATTTTTAGGTAAGTCACTATCAGTCACGGTCACAGTCCTCCCGTTGTTCATCAATTTGCTCGAGCGGGCCCCGTAACGTCTCCATTGGAGACTTTGTTGTTACTGTGTTTGGCATATCAAATACCACGGAGTGATAGCACAGAGGGTAAGGTGTTTGCCTTGCAAGCGGCCAATATGGCCAACCCGAGTTCAATTCCTCCACCCCTCTCGGAGAGCCTGGCAAGCTACTGAGAGTATCTCACCCACACGGCAAAGCCTGGCAAGCTACCCGTGACATATTCAATATGCCAAACACAGTAACAATTGTCACAAGTCACTATAAACAGGTTAAAATTAAAGACCACCAGGATGAAGTCCTTAATGTCACTGACATCTAACAAAGCAAAAAGCATATGACATAAACCAGGTAGCAAATCAGCAGCTGGTGTAACTGTGCTAGATTACTTCTGGGGTTCTCTCCCATGTGCTTACCTGGAGTGTAAGAGCCTAATACATGTTATAAAAGGCCAGAGAGACAGTACAGTGGGTGAAGCATTTGCTTTGCATGCAGCTAATCTGGGTTTTTTTCCCTGACACCACATAGATTTCCCCAAGTACTGCCAGCAGGGATCCCTGTGCATAGAGCCAGGAGTAATCCCTGAGCACTGCCAATGTAGCCCAAAACCCAAATAAATAAATGTTTGTTTAGAGGCCAAATGAGGGGTGTATGGGGAATGAATGGTGGCAGTCTGCTAAACCATCTTGAGTCACAGAAATACCTTCTAGTGTAACAGCTGTCAGGAATTTGAAAGAAAATAATATAAGGGGCAACAACCCAAGGGCAGGGACTTAAAAAAAGTGTGTCTTCTAAAATAGGGGTGATCTCATTGCTGGGAACCTTAGTGTCCCAAAGGCGCCAGGTCTGAGAACTGCTGTCCTAGACTGGGTGGGTGAAAACCAGAAAAGCCTTTGAATTTAGAATGATGTGATGTCTGTGAGGAGAGCTGGTGAACTTGCTTTGTAAATCCCTCCACCTGATGGGTCTGCCCTTTCCTCTCTTCCCTTTTCCTTTCTCTGCTTCAGTTCTCCCATGAAGGCTTGAAAATCCCATCTCCGTATTCCCATTTTAGAGTTGTGGAAACTGAGGTCCAGGGAAGGTCCCCTAACCTGCCAATGTCTCTCAGAGAGTGACATTGTGAACTCAGATCTGTGCAACCCCTCAGTTTACCCAGAGTTCTTTGGAAAACCATTTTCAATGGTCAGGAAATCCCCATCCCTCTCCTCTATTCTGCATCCCAATGTTCATTCCTTATCCTCTTAGGGAGCTAAGTTCTTTTCCTGCTTCCTGGAGACCTGAATTCTGCAGACCTGATGCTGAACTTCCCATCTCCCAGCTAGTAAGACTGACTTTTCTCTCTCACTGAAATCACAGCCTACCTAAAACCTGTGGCCCAGAGGGTCATCTCCAGGGAGAGAACCAACCTCCCACCCCTAGGGGACCAACCTCCCAACCCTGCACACCAGCCAATCTGACTTTCCGTGTCAGTGCCTCTGGTCTTCCAAAACTGAAGAACCACTTCTTCAGAGTTCAGGTTCTTTTTTTTTTCTTTTGCTTTTTACTGTGTCTGGCATATCGAATACTCTCGGTAGCTTGCCAGGCTCTCCGAGAGGGGCGGAGGAATCGAACTCGGGTCGGCCATGTTGGCCGCTTGTAAGGCGAACACCCTACCCGCTGTGCTATCGCTCCAGCCCTTTTTAAGTCATACCCAACAATGCACAGGGGTTCCTCCTGCCTTTGCACTCAAGAATGACTCCGGCAGTGCTCAGGGGACTATATGGGATGTTGGGAATAGAACCCAGGTTGGCCATGTGCAAGACAAAGGGCCTCCCCGCTGTGCTATCGCTCCAGCCCCAGACTTCAGGTTCTTAACTAGAGCTCTTTGTTCATCCATCACAAAGGTCCATGAATTCTTGGAATTGGTTCCCTAAATCTGGGGTATGCATTTAGAGATTATAGCCAAATTCAAGGTTTCCAACCAAGTCTCAGCTGGGTGACCAATATAGCTGAAAACCTCTACCTTCGTAAACCAAGAACTCTGGGATTCAAGGAGAGAATCTGGATCAGTCTTGGCTCTGTGACTGACTGACCTCAGTCCTTTCATCTGTACAATGGTTTGGCACTTTCTGACTCAACAAAATGAGTGGGTTGCAGGGTGGGGGTTGCTGACAAGAGTGCTTGATTCTTTTTTCATCTGTCACCAGAGGGAAGCTAGAGGGGAGTGGGTAGACACGGGCTCAGGAGAGTGAGACAGTGAAAGATGATTTGAGGAGGGGGCAGAGAGATAATACAGTGGGGAGGGTGTTTGCCTTGCACAAGGCTAACTTGGGTTTAATCCCGGGCATCCCATAGGGTCCCTTGAGCATTGCCAGGAGTGCAGAGCCAGAGGTTACCCCTGAGCATTGCTGGGTGTACCCAAAAAGCCAAAAAAAAAAAGGGATGATTTGAGGAGCATAAATAGGACTTTCAACCTGTTGTTAAATCCAAAGGATAAAGACAGCACTGGGAACAGAATCAATTATATGGAAGCCAAAGATGATCCCAGCTTCCATAGGCATAAAACAAATATGAGATCAGGGGGCCAGGAAGGCTTTTCCCAGAGCAACCCCAGTATAAGGCCAAGTGGGTCCAAGTCAAGGCTATGAGGCTGGGGAAACCAGAGTTCAGTGCTTCCCTCTGCCCTTGCGGGAGGCCATGCTTTTGTGTTTCTTATGGAAAATATTGTTTATTAATTACTATTAATTGGGGAGAGCTCATCAAGCGGTTCTCCACAGGCCCGGGGGCCCCACTGGCGATTCTCAGCCAATTGGGCCTGTGATCGATTAAAAGGCCCCTTAGTATGTGATGCTGCTTGGCCAGAGCCTTTAGTGACAGGGATAACCTGGGTCACCCAGGTGCTGCATGGGGGCCTCCAGGGCTGCACCCGGCAATTTTCAGGGGACCATGTGGTACCCGGGATTGAACCCAGATTGGAGACATGTTAGACAGGCACCCTAGCCACTGTGGAAGGCAAGTGTCCTGCCCGCTGTACAATCTCTCCAGCTCTAACAACTGTACTATTGCTCAGCCTCCTTATTATTAATTTCACTACTTATTTGGGACCTCACCTTGCAGTGCTCAGGGGCTACTCTGGGCCCCCAGGCTTGCTCTTGGTGGTGCTCGAGGGATCAAGCAGTATTGAGGCTCAAACCCTAGTCTCTGCCACACGTAGCCTATGCTGGGTGACTGATTTAAGCCATTTCCTCTCTTAGCCTCAGTGAAATGCTGCCTTCTCGTATGCCAGTCTTGTGTCTGCGTGTGGCAGGGGCTCAAGGGTTAGGGCTCAAGGTTTAATGGGTTAAGGAAAGAAGTAGAAGGCAGGCGAGGGCAGAAGTGATGACGAGTGAGTATGTGGTGCCCAGGCTCATGGCTGTGGAGAGGAAGGACCTGAACTATCACTTCACAGAGGGTCCATGAGCTGTGGCCTACAGGCCACGCAGAGCCCAGTTCCTGTTTTTATCAGTGAAGATTCTGGAAACACAGGCCCACCTGTTTATCTAGTGTCTGTGGCCAGTCTTCACTCCAGCAGCATGGCTGAGTGGTCACGGAGGAGACTCTCTGGGCCATCAACCTAAAATACTTACTCTCTGGTCCTCTACAAATAATAGCCCTAACACAGACCATGGCAATGAGGATAAAACGGACTTTGATTGCAGAGTCTGGAAGAAGTTGGCAAAGGAGGAGGGAAGCATAATTTGAGAGAAAAGCATTCTCTGCATCTTCCACACAAATGTGCACAGGGGATTGAAGTGAAGAGTTAGTGGGGGGCGGGAGGAAGCATCTTACCTGTAAGCTCTGGCGGGGCTGAGCTCTAGGCAGGCTTTGCCTCGCTCCAGGCAGGTGGTACCCAAGGCCTTGGTGGCCAGGCGCTGACTCAGCTTCTCTGAGGGTTCATCCTGGGCTGGGACCGAGGGGCTGCTCTGGGCTTCTGTCCTACAGGGGAGGAAGTTAGGCAGCTTTTAGGCTACAACTCAGACAACCCAGACTTCTGGTGCTCATCAAACGTTCATGGACAATGAAATATTTCCCTTTTCCTTGCTGTTTCTTTGGGGCCCTGAGAATATCATGAACTAAAGGTCTTTGTTGGGAAATGACGAATATTATTTCCAGGCAAAAAAGCACCGGGTGGCTTCTTCCAGCTCGCTCTTCCTCTGGGATCGAGAATTTAGCAGCCAAATATCCAGAAAGATGAAACTACTTGATGGAGAAAACGTGCCTGAACCTACAATAAACTTTGCACATCAGACCTGAACTTTAGTTGAGCTGAAGTCTCTGGGCTTTGGGGGTTTATTTGTTTTCACAGCTTTTGCTCACGGAACCTGACATCAGGAGAGGTTGCCAGCAGACAACGCCTTTCCTTTCCCAAGGCAGGATTGCAGGCTGTAGCTCAAACACCCTTCTCCCATTTCCCTCCCATTTCTTTGCTTTCCCTGTGTGGGGAACAGAGATTTCCCAATTCACCTACACTCCTTGCCATGAGCAAGGACCTGGAATGGGTCACACCATCTCTCCGAGTTGCAGTTTCCGAGATTATCAATAGAGAAAATACCAGTTCAGAATCCATCATGATGCAGAGATAAAATGAGAAACTCTATGTGAGCAAAAAAGGCTGACCACACAGCCAGTCCTTTCTCTCTGATTCCCTGAAACCGGAACCTCTGATCTGGCCTCCTGAGCAGCGGGAGGCAGCTTTGTGGGACAGCAAAGCCGGAGACAGACATTCTGACATTGCCTCCCCTGCATCTGAGATAAGCCCCAGACCCCACTGGGTAATTCTCCCAAGTCTTGTCACCTTCTTTGGGGTCCCAACTTCGAACCCAGGCCAGCAGCATGCAAAGCAAACACCCTACCCACTGCACTATCTTTCCGGCCCCCACTCAAATCATTTTTCATATTGTTCCCAGCTCTCAGCTTCCAGGAAGGAGCCTGATTTCTCTGTTGCTTTTTGAGGAGACTCTCTCATCACCTCTTTCCAACCCGAACAGAGGGGAGCGAGGGGACCCCGAGAGCCACAGGTGGATTTGGCACCAGCCAGCGAGACTGTCTCCTGCTCAACGCCCCCAGACCCAGGCCAGCCATTGATCAAAAGCATTAGCATTGCGCAGACACTCAGCTCCTGCAGCCAGTGCATCAAGATCGGTTTTATGACTCAGGATGAATGCAGCTGATAAGCCCCAGCTCCCAGTCAATAGTGAAGGAGGAACTGAACAACACATCTGTCTCTGTCAGCCACTTATCCTGCATCTCTGGCAGCTGAGCTAGAAGATGCTGCAAGCCCACGAGGAGTTGGGGGTCCCAGGGAGCGTGGCGGAGCCCGCCTCACTACCAATGCCAGTTCCAGAACCCCCTCCTTCTGCTGAGCCTCAGTTTCCTGAACCTCCCCTGTCCTTGCTCCTCTTCTCTCCAGAGGTCTGCCTCCAGGCCAGTCTGAGAGCTGGCCAGCCCACTCTTATGGAGTCCACACCCTGCTCTTCCCAGGCAACGTCTGCCCAGTCCCCCACTAGCCCTGTCTTTTCCCAAATATACCCCAGCCTCGACTCACCGAAATCATATTCATTCTACTTCCTGGGGTGCCTACAGTAGGCCCAGATCTGCTCCAGGATAAAGAGGTCCCCAGTGCTCATCAAGTCCATATTCTCCATGAGGAATCAGGTGATATGTACAAACCTTATTTTATTAGATGGGACTTTGTGTGTGTGTGTGGCAGGGGGGATAACAACCAGGCAGTGGGGTTGGGGAAGAGAAAGTGACTTACTATTTTATGGAAATTAGAATTTTATTTTTATTTATTTTATTTTATTATTTATTTATTTATTGCTTTTTTGGTCACATCCAGCGATGCTCAGGGATGACTCCTGGCTCTGCACTCAGGGATGACTCCTGGAGGTGCTGGGGCGGGGGGGGGGCGGGGGGGAACCCTATGGGACGCCGGGGATCAAACCCGGATCAGTCCCGTGCAAAGCACATGCCCTCCCCACCCTCGCCCGCTGAACTACCGCTCCGGCCCCAGAAAGGGGCCTAATCTGAAGCTTCACAATGGGATTAGGGTGAGCCTGAGGGACTGTGGGGCTAGTTTAGTTCTCTGATCTCACCATGCTCAGGGGCATTCTGCCGCCTGTTGGAGCAAGAAGGAAATCCATGGAGCTGCGGCCGCTGCATGACCCAAGCTCCTCTGTGGCGCTGGCTGTGGGCCTTCACGCTCTTCCAGCTGTGGAGTCCCCTCCCGGTTGCTCCCAGGAATGGAGTCTTTGCTCTGTCTATTCCCTACCCACCATGCTTTCCCTCCAGTTCTTTGAACAAGTGTTTTTGTTTTGTTTTTTAATCCCTTTTATTCAATTACCACCTTCTCCCAGCCCCACTGACGTGATCTGATCACATCCCTCTCTCGCCGGCCACGCTCCCAGGACCCCCTTCCCTCTTCTCCAGACTCTCCTCACTGCACAGCCCTTGTCACTGTTTGCCAGGCCACTTTACTTGCTGACCCTTTGTCTTCTGCCTTCCAGCGGGGTCGCCTCCAGGAGAGCCGGCACTGGACCCTCTCCTCACCACTGGACCCTCGGAACAGAGCGGCTGATGCTGTGTACATTTTTGTTCAATAAATAGTTGGCGAATGAATGAATGAATGAATGAATGAGCGGAAATTCAAGTGAATGCTGGTGATCGGGCTCACAGGGGAAGCAAAGTTCCAAAGCAACCTCCTCTTGCAAAGAAAGGCTGGGAGTGGCCCAGCCTTACCCCTGCCCCCAGAAACCAGGCCCACCAGGCTTTTGGGTTGGGGTGGGGGCTTGCAGCCAGGTCTCCATCTATATTTCTCTTTGCTGTCCCCCAGCCCCACCCCATCGCTGTTTCTCCTTCAATACTGCATAAAAATATATTTAAAAGAGGAAAACTTGGGGGAAGATTTGTGCATTTGTCTGTGTGCGTATGGGGGGTCATTGAGGGATGTCTGGAACAGTGAAGTTAAGGACTGATTCGTGCCACAGAGGGGGGTGCCCAGCACCCCATTCCTCCAGGCCTCCTGGCTCCATCTTGCTAATCAGCAACCTGGAGCTTCCATGCTGCCTCCGTAGTCATGGCAACCAGCAGATTCCAGCCAGGATAAGTCAGGGCCGAACTTTCTGCAAAACTCCCAGGTGCCAGGCTGTCTAGCACCTTCTCTGCTTCCTCTGTCTGGGAACCCAGCTCCCAAGGAAGAGTTTAAAGAACTCTTTCAGCCCCTGGGTCGGGAGAAGATCTTGAGGTTTCCCCATGTGGAAGGGCCTTTTTCTCTGTGCAGAGTGAGGAAACTGACGCACCAAATAGCAAGGAGATTGGCCCAAGGCTCTGAAGTGACTCATGTCGGCACCACAGCTGGATCTGTGGTTTTTGGACTCCAAGTTCAGTGCTCTTTCCACACCACTGAGTCAGAGCAGCATTTGGCATTTTGCCAGCACCTGCGCCAACCAAGCAACCATTTCTCAGGCACCCGCTCATCCAAGCAAGCTTCCAGAAAAATCCAAGAGTAGGCACTGCCATCCCCACTGTGTCATTGGGAAAACCCAAGCCAGGGATAGTTAGTGGCCAAAACATCAACTGCCCTAATTCTAAGAATCAGCTGAAATAAAGAAAAAATAAAGGAGAGAAGGCTGAACAGTACTTTGAAATACAACAAAAGTATTGTGTGGGTCTAGGCTGCACTGTGATCATTCCCCCCATAAGTCAGGGACATGCTTTGTCTCCATGGACAGGAAGTACTGAATCTCAAAATAGGTCTGAATTACATAACCCCCAAGCAGGGGCTGCAGAGAGAGTATGGAAGGTAAAGCACTTGCCTGGCATGTGGCTGAACCTGGTTTGATCCCCCTATGGTCCTACCTATGGTCCCTTGAGTATGGCCAGGAGTGATCCCCAAGCCAGAAATAGTTTCTGAGCTGCAGATGATCTCCCAACGTGGGGGGGGGGCGGGGAGAGCCTGGGGAGATACTTAGGCTTCCACCCCTCGAGTCACTCCTCCTGCAAATGGAACAGTCCCTCATCCCAGAATGGGAATAATGCCAAGACCCTCTGTCAGGGACTCAAAGGTCAGACTCAACCCCGTCACAGAGTTGAAAACACTGAGACCTGTAGAGGCAAAGGCATAAGCTTCCCCTCTAAGACTCAAGCTCGGGGTCTTTATCTAACCTTGCACCCCAGCCTGGCGATGACTGATCCAGGAGCTGCATTTGACTGGGCAGTGAAATAGGCACTTGGCCGAATTCGGAGAAGAAGGGAGGCTCCACACCCTCAGCTCACACATCAACCAGCAAGCGCAGGGCTTCTCATGGGGTGGACCCAGCTGGTAGACAAGATGGGTTTAGCTCATTTGTACCTTGGCCGCTGGTGCTTTAGTCTGTGCTATGTGAATACCCTGACCCCAAGGTCTAGGTTAATTCAGTGAATGAGACCTAATTGGGGGGGGGGGGTGAAGGGCCGGAGCTGTGACTCTCAGCTTTGCCATGACGGCGGGTAAAAGACTAGGTGCTCTGGGCCAGGAGCGGGGGCGTTCTGAGTTAGTACTGGGATACAAGGGTGGTCGTGCTCCTCTTGGTAGAAGCTGAATGAGAAATAAGGAGTTTTAGGAACCTGGTGAGTCCCTCATGATTTTCGTTCAGTTATTTGGCAGCTTGTTCAATACCTACTTAGGATGGAATTTTCAGGACTCCCAAAGGAATTCAGACTTGTTTCTGCCCGAGTTGCACACTGGGATGGAAAGACGCATCCCTCCACTGGGAATTATAACAGGTGTAAGAACCTGTGGCTCCGGAGAAGCTCAGAGGGCCATGGGACCACAGAGTGAAGCTGAGTCAGGCTGAGTCAAGCTGAGTCAGGTGCTCAGATGGCCCAGATGCAAAGGGACTGAAAAGATCAGCTGAGATAGGTTAAGAGAATGAATACGCATGTGCAGAGCCCCAGCC